AAACTGACGGATGCACAAGAGATACCCTTGTTAGCTGGATGGGTAAATGAGAGTTGACCTTTAAAATCACTATTTACTCTTTACCAAACAATACCTGACTTATCATTTATTTATTCTAAATAGTTCATCAACTCTTCGACACATTATAGCTACTTTAGGTTGATAATTTTGTCAGTTCAGGTCTGCAAAGTATTTTTCAATTTTCCAGAAATATTTACACGAGTCGCGACACCGCCACGCTATGAACAGGATACGAGGGGAAGGTGGACGCTTCCACTCGGGCAGCAGGAAGTAAGAATTATTTGTATTCTAGAACCTTCTAGACTCTTCTATTAAATAGTTTAACTATCTAAGTTCTAAATATAGACATATCCGTATCATGTCGGCAACTAATTGATATATAATTTACAGGAACCGCGCGGCTAACTCTGATCAAGGCGTGGACCCTCACAAGCTGCTGGAGGATATCAAGCCTGATACCGTCTCCATCACCATCATACAGGTCAGTTAGCCACTGTCTACCCCCATTACAATTCACTCATTACATTCATTTGTCCTTTTCTCACAAAAATTAGCGTGACAATACACCCATGTCGTAAATTTGATGGTTTTTAATAAAAATTACTCTGAAATACGCTGTGATTCCTCACATTCTACACAGCAAAGTGTGTGTTTTATTATATTAATATAGAAAATGTGATATTTATAGGAAGAAGAAACCCAAGAGCACCAGCCGACACAGTGGAGGAGGCTCGCTCCTCAGCCAATGCCCTCCACGTAGCACATCAGAATTAAAGTGGAACGAGAGTGCACTTAGTGTTCAATAAGTGAGGACTTCTCCACTTAGTGTCAATCATGAAGATAGTGTAAACCTGTGCATTCAGTGTGAAATTGTGCATATAGTCTAAAACTATGCATTCGGTGTGAACTTGTGTAAGTAGTGTAAAACTGCGCTTAGTGTGGACTTGTGTAATCAATGTGAATGTGGACTTGAGTAAGTAATTTGGACTTGTCAAGTTTGTGTACACATAAATTATTGGCGTATGTAATTGATAACTGATGTACAATCAGGGCATTTGTCTGTATTCAACCTTAAAACTGGATGTTTAAATGCAGCTTTTAATGCCTTGTAATACAAAAAAAAAACGGTAGGTACACAGTTATTTCTTTATAATTATCCCATCATTTGCACAATTGACTGTTACATAATTGGTTATAAAAGGGTTTTTGTCTTTTCAAGGAATAAGCCAATTTTTTTGTAAGTGGAACACTGCAAAGGGCCCTGACTGTACATAGGATTGTATGGGTTTAGTGGAGTGTGGAAGTTAGTTATTTGTAACTATGGTTTCTTCCATTTTCTTTAAAAACAACAGCAAAATGTTGTAATACAAGTGTAAGTGCAGTGAAATTTAATATATTGATTTTGTATTCATTGTAATTTATAACTTCAGTAGTTTTATAGTTTGTTAAAATATGTCTTAATTGAAAATATGTTATCTACAAAATAATTTTAATTCAAAAATTCCATAAAATGTTTTTGCTTCCACAATAATTCTAATTTTCATAAAAATTTAATTAGTGAAAATAAACTGATGTACGTACAATAATGTAACAGCACTGCCATTTTGTCTTAGTATACATATTAATGTATATGTTGATGGAAATATATGAAATCCGTCATTGTACACAATTCCTAGGCAATGTATAACTCCTAAAATCGCTTTGAATTATCGAGAACCCACAAATGCTATTTAACAATTTTATTCATAGAAAACAGTGGTAGAGCCCGCTTTAACATCTTTGCCCGAATGGGCCGTCTCGCCCGGTGCAATACCACGACCACACAGAAAACAGGCGTGAAGTGGAAGCAACTCCGCGTTTCGTCTGACGAGTGTGGTGCCAGAGACCTAATTTTCGTCCCTTTTCCTTTCCACCCTTTTCTTAAGAGGAAAGGATAGGAGGAAAAAGTGGATTGG